GTGATAAAGGCATGAACAAGTTTCTCCAAGTCTTGACTGGAGACAAAACATCTAATTCTTGCAATGTTTTTTTAGATGATAGTATGCTGATTTAGTTACTGCTTTGACATGACTACTGAAATTAAGGTCTGTCTCCAGAATCACACCAAGATTCCTGGCTTGATTTTTAGTTGTTAGACCCCTAGGTATGCATTCACCTTGAGAACTTCATCTTTGTTTCCAAATGCAATGACTTCAGTTTTTTCCTTGTTTAACTGAAGAAAGTTCTCGCACATCCAACTGTTAATTTCATCAATGCATTGGCAGAGGGAGTCAATGGGGCTGTAGTCATTTGGAGATAAGGCTAGGTAAATCTGGGTATCATCTGCATAGCTGTGATAGGCGATTTGGTTCTTTGGTTCAAAGAACAATCAAAAGTAACATTAGATGTTTGCAATATGATAAAATGGAACGTTCCCTTAAGGTTCGTTTAACTAACGTTTTTCAAACATTCAAAAAGATTTAACGTCTCTTATATTCAGAGAACACTAAGAAATAACGTTTTCATTACTCAATGGGGCCGTTAGCAAAACCGTCTTAGAACATATTTTTGTCAGCTGGGTAGCTACAAGGGACCATCACAGTATAAATGCATAATTTATGGTCAATGCATCTTAATTACTTTTATATAGGCTTCCTGGTTAAAGTGCGATGGAGTTTTTCTTCTTAATTATGTGATGTCATGTGACGTGAGAGGTGGTGACGCTCTCGAAAGTACTCGTGACAGATGGGACAGGTGAGTTTCTCCTCTCTTCTCCTCCTCACCTGAGCCTCTGCGGCGAACTCTTTCTTATGATGGGACCGCATGTGAAACACCAAATCGGAGGTCATTCGGAATGAGAGGTTACATTTGGCGCACCAGTTCTGCACTGAAACGCCCAATGGTGTGAAAGTGGGGGGTAGAAGTGTGAAAGAAGATGTGGACTGCCGCTGTCCTCCTATAGATCTGGTCCAATGCTCGGGCGCGTAATAAAAGGATCCTCCTGTAGCCAGAGGAGCGGACATCACTCCACCTGCATGAGCGCTTGTCAAGTCAGTGTGAAACAGGTGCGAAGCCAATACATTTCTGTATCCTAGTGAAGGTTTTGATTTGAAAGAGTCTGAGATATTATCCGAATCTGGTGGTGAAGAATTCAGAACTTCGGTGATGGTGCGTTTGTTGGGTTCACAAAACGCGCTCTTCTGTTCCGAGTGCGCGCTCTTGGGTACAACGAACGAGAAGGCGCTGCAGTCGGATTGCAGGCCTACTTCAGACACCATTACATCCCGTGATGACTGCTCTCGTGGTTTTTGAACCTCGGTAAATGCGCTGCTTTTACTTATCTTTGACTCATTTGTTGATAATTTGTCTGATTCTGACAAATCCTGGAAAGGTGGACAGTCTTTGTTGACGTTGGCGATGTTGCTGTGATTAGTGATGTTGGTTTTCTCTAATAAAACAGTTTTTTTGTTCCGGGGACTTAGGGAACCCTCTTGTTTTCTTTTTCTAGGTATGCCCGAGTCTTCAGGAGAACCGCTCACTTTGTGCTCCAGATCTCTTGCAATGTTGTGAAAATCTATGATTTTGCGTTGTCGCTTGACTTCTGGTTTCTGTTCGTTGGTTGGTCGGATAATATCTACTTTTTCCTGCGCACATAAAAAACGGCAGTGGGCAAGGAAAGGATTTTCATTCTTGAAGGCCTGGCCGCATCTCGTACATGTGTAGCCTGCATATGAAGATACAAACGCTGTCAGACCACGATGGTAATAACAATATTAGGACACTTAACATTTAAGCAACAACTCATTTACAAACAATTCATTTATAAATTACATTTGCATATTAAATACAAACTTGGTAAATCTTTGAATAATGAATAAATTGCTGTTTTATGCATTTTATGGACATTTTTTGCCAAATATTCAGGATCTTAAGGGATCCTCTGTGTTCAGTGGTTTTCTTGTCACATGACAACAAAATGGCTCCATGCATATATTTGTTTTTGTATAAAAAAAAGTATTTTTTTCTCAAATATTAATAATTTACAAACCAAAAATTTACAGGAAAATTGCTTAACTGTTAATGAATATATATAAAATACCAAAGTACGTTTGCAAATGTTTTGAAGAAGAGCTATTTAGACCTATTTTATTTTTATAGATATGAATATGACCTATGAATGAACATTCCATGACATTGTTAACCAATTTGAAGGTACATTCAATTAAAATGATTTAATTAACATATTATTTAAGCATTAAATAATGATTTTATTCCATTAAAAATCATGGAAAGCAGCCCATACTCACCATCTGTCAGGGCTTTTGTCTTTATGTCTTCGAACCCCAAAAGATGTGACAACTCCTCGTCATACCAAACAAGCAGTTCTTCCCCTTGTTTCACATCTCGAATAGTCCGAAAGTGCAGCTGTCCTCCTTTCAAGTAGGCCTCAGTATTCTGGTCTTCTGCGCTCATTGCAGCCTGTACTAACCGTAGCCATGGAACTACTAATGGAGAACCTTTCATCGCCTCAGGATCTACCTGTTGATTGTGGGACATATTTGATTATTTGATTAATTAAATTTTTACAGTAAAATAGATAACAATTGATCTTTTGCAGTGTATAGTGTATTACAAATTATATGTCTGGATTACGCATGTTTCATTTACAGCACAAGACAATTTTTGTAAATCTAGTCAAATTCTGCAGTCTAAAATAAAAATGCGGTCTAAATCTAAAATCTTACTCACCCGAAACACATATGATTTATTCCATTTGTCAAAGGACTTCAATGCAATGAAGGCTATAGTGTCATAAAAGGTATTATGAAGAACACAAGGTCCAAATGATGTTCCAGCTGGTATATCCTGTGTAACTTGTACACTGGTGAAGAAGCCCGTGACATGGTGGTGGAGAAATTTGCTGTCATTAGTCCACAAGGAGCGAGGAATAATACTTTGCTCCATGTTTTATTCCTGGAAATATGAATTTAAATGATGAAAAGTTAAAAAGAATAAGACAAGTACCATGTTTCCATGCTTAAATTGGATTAATGGAGCAATCTGGATTTTTTAATACCTAATGCTTTTTTATCAGTATTTTTCTAAAACACAGGGAACATAGGAAATATATTGCCATGCATGCAATTAGTTCGACTATATACTGAAAAATAAATAAATCGGTCTATGTATGCGAAATCGATTGGTACATCAGAACTGTTCAGTTTTTCTTTTCTTTTACGTTTGGTTTGATGTTCTTTAAACTGTAAATAGCGTTTAAATCCGTATAGTCAGCTAGCAGGCATTTTGTATAAAATGGACTATCTCACAAAATTATACTATATGCAGTAAAATTGCTACTCACGTATAGCAGGTTTGGGTTGAGGATGTTCCGTAGCAGGTGCACAGTCCAAGGAGACGCGATTTGCAATTATCCACAGAGAGCGTGCGATCACGACCGTCTCCTGATCCTGACAGTCTCTTGACTGTCTCTCGCGCTGCGCAGTCACGCACTTATCCACGCCGAGGACGCGGAGCTGATGCGCCTCATGATGCTTCACCAGCTTTGCATGCGTGTTAATTAGAAGCGAGGGTAATCAATGACAGAAGTCAGAGACCGTTAGATTGTGATGAGTAGCACAAAAGACTGTATGCTCATTCTGTATGCACATTTAAAACGAATCCTATAACCCAAAGACATAATAAGTAGAAAATGTCGAATCACAATTCAACTGTTAGATTTTGTGACGATTCTCCAAATATGTAAACTTTTATGTAGTTACTTGGGGTTGACTTTTAAAGAAATTTATAAAATGTATATTTGTTGTGTCTGTTCAACCTGTTTCTGATTTTTAAGTGTGCTTTAGTGATTTTTTGATTAGGCTATTTTATTTCAGAAAAAAATATATCTTCAGAAATGTTTCACTTTACTCGTTATTTATAATGCTTAAGATTTGAATAACATAATATCGAATAGAATTTAAGGAATTTCGTTGAAGCCAAAATACTCCCTCTCCCGGAAAGAGGAAGTTTCAGTAGCTGTTGGCTGCCTGCTCGCCGTCCGGTTGCGCAGTCACGCACTTATCCACGCCGAGGACGCGGAGCTGATGCGCCTCATGATGCTTCACCAGCTTTGCATGCGTGTTAATTAGAAGCGAGGGTAATCAATGACAGAAGTCAGAGACCGTTAGATTGTGATGAGTAGCACAAAAGACTGTATGCTCATTCTGTATGCACATTTAAAACGAATCCTATAACCCAAAGACATAATAAGTAGAAAATGTCGAATCACAATTCAACTGTTAGATTTTGTGACGATTCTCCAAATATGTAAACTTTTATGTAGTTACTTGGGGTTGACTTTTAAAGAAATTTATAAAATGTATATTTGTTGTGTCTGTTCAACCTGTTTCTGATTTTTAAGTGTGCTTTAGTGATTTTTTGATTAGGCTATTTTATTTCAGAAAAAAATATATCTTCAGAAATGTTTCACTTTACTCGTTATTTATAATGCTTAAGATTTGAATAACATAATATCGAATAGAATTTAAGGAATTTCGTTGAAGCCAAAATACTCCCTCTCCCGGAAAGAGGAAGTTTCAGTAGCTGTTGGCTGCCTGCTCGCCGTCCGGTCTGTGGTCGCTCCTCCAAACATTTCTCCTCGAGGAGGAGCTTTTAGTGTTTTGGAAGCGGACTCAGATGACAGCGAGATATAACACTGTGACAAGACATTCAAATATCTTTTTTGAGGAATAAATTGCATGGAAAAGAGTTGCTTTTCTTTTCTGCAGGAATAATATGAAATGCAATTTTATCCCAGTGCTTTTGGAGAGAATAAACCGATGAAATGGCACGTTCACTGATTCACACGAGTCTTGTTGTGGGTATTTTAGTGATTTTGATGCCCAGTCTTCATACTGGAGAAGGTGATCCTTATTTTGAGGACGAGAAGAGGTCTTGTCAAGGTGCTTTCGACTTGTATTTTGTCCTCGACAAGTAAGTGGCCTTCATATTTATGGCATCTTTTTCTCCTCTCACCGCGCACTGCTGCGCGACGCCTCTGACGCCCTCAGACGCGCGTGCACTTCTATTATAACAACAGTCATTCGCTTAGACAGCCGAATAACAGAATTTAATTGATCCAAATGCTTTAACATGAAACAATTCATTAATATTTTTTTTTAATGGATAATCATTTCTAGGTATATTCTATCAGAAAACGTCTGGCGAGATATTGTGGGAAAAGAGCTATTCCCAAAGGAGACCAGACAAGGATGCATATGGCAGGATGCACTGACATGAAATTCGAGCAAAATTCCTAACCATATAAACAACGAATCATTAACTATCTCTACAGAATTAACACACAATGCTGCTTATAGTTTTTCTGATGGTTGATTCCTGACGTTTTTGTCTAGTGTTCTGCAGCATATAGGAGGACAGGACTCTTTGCCTCGGGCGATGCTTTAACAAGCATGATTTTCTCTCACCTGGTGCGGTTCACATGCACATTTGTGCATCATTATCTCAGGGGCGTCTCAATCATAAAAGGCAAATAGAGACCTCATCACAAGAGCATGCACTATTAGTTAGCTATACAAATACCCGTTTATAAAAAAATAGGGTGTGTCAAGATAAAAATGCATTTACTGTATTTTATTTCTTGCAACTTACAACTGCAGGCAGTTGTTTACATGTAATGTTAGTCAAATGCAAATAGTTATTTATATTTAAGTGTGTAATGAGCGTAAGTGGCATCCTATACTCCTAATTCTTTAGCACCTTGGAGTTGTGAATACCCAAACAAGCTTAAACATGCTGGAGCATGCTATAGAACGGTTATAAATGAAGAATTTTTGAGGCCATCAGATTTTAGTCAAATATAAAGTAAAGCTCAAGAGCAACATACAGTAGCAATGCCTGTACAGTTTAGACAATAATTTTGCTCATTTAGTGAAATCTGAATATTAATTCCACAGAATATTAAATCTGAAGGAATCCAGTTAAAGATCTATTACAGAACAAAATTTGGGATTTTAGCCATAACCTTTTGTTACTGTGTTTGGAGCGCAAACGCATATTAGTTACACTTCACAGTTCGCTCTTCTGTTTGAAAGTTTTCTGAATGCCTTTAGAGACCTAAGGGATTGCATGCATCATCAGGCTTTTGCCACACTTCCACACTTTTAATCAGCTGAATGGTTCTGGCTGAATTTTCGAGGCCTTAAATGCCACTCAGTGACCCTACACTAATTGTAAATATCAGGTCATCAGTTCAGAGAGTTTTGGAAAGAAAAGCAGCTCCATTGCTTTTCAGAGAGAAAATACCTTTGATTATCAGTGGAACGAGAACTAGTTTTATGCCACTATATGTGACTCCTTTTAATTTACGGCTCCTTTTAGATCGTTTCTTAATATAACGATATTCTGACTCAGCGGTTTGTTGAAGATTGATGTTAGTTCGGAGGATAAGAGATAAAGCCAGGATCAAGCTGCATCAAAGGAAATCAGAACAGTCTTGTTATTCTAGACTGCTGCATACCAGCACAATGTACTGAAATTTAATGACTTATTTCAGTGGCCCTAAAAAGTATTTAGACACTAAACCACACTTAAAATGTCTGAATGTCATTTCATTGTATAACAAAATATCAAATGTATGTGTCATCTGCAAACACATTATGCTAGACCTTGAATTAACTACTTTTTGTTGCCATTTTACTTTTTAAACCTGTTGGTCTTAAGGTGATTTGGATGCATTAGGATATTAAGTCAGTTCCCCTTTTGTACAAACCGGTGCAGAGTAACTAGTTGCTCTAGTTCATCCGATTAACTATGGATATTTTCCACAAACATCTGAAAGCCAGAAAGTTTCCAATTGGTTTTTTTTCTTCATTTTGAACAGTATATGTATTGTTTTAAGCGAACTAACTGAAACTTTCTTGTGCAGTTGGTTTCATATTCTATAATCTAATGCAGATACATACACCAAATTGGGGTATTTTTTATTAATTTTTTTTTTTTGCAAGTGTGGCCCATATGTTCATTTTGGAACCACAGTATATCAATATATAAAATTGCAGGTGTGTTTAAAACTGACAACAGATTAGCATTGATTGCTGCTGTTACTGTTGCTAGATCCACATGTCCAGTTTTATGTTTCCTGACCGCCTGTCAGAGATGGAGCTGTGAGCCTTTTTGGATGCTGATGTAGATGCCCACTCTATTTTGGATCCCAACCTGTTACACTCACCCATTGCCATCTGTTCCCATTCAAATGACTGGCTCCAGGAGGAAGGGGAGTTTCTCTGTGCTAGCAGGAGGCAGATTCATCTGGCACAAAGGCAATTAGCCCTTGTTGGGAACGCTTTGGGGCCTGTAATTAATTAGTGGCATGTGCACATTTTATGTGCCCAGTACTCAAGGACCTGCTACTCTTAGATAGTGTATGAAAAGATGGTAATTGTTATGTAATTGTGTTTAAGGCAGCCATTATAATGCACAGAAGCCTCTGACTCTTTGAAGCATGCAGTTTTTCAACATATTTGATTTTATTATAGATCAGGAAGTGTCAAAAACCACTGGATTGAAATTTACTCCTTTGTGGAGCATCTTGCAGAGAAATTTATAAGGTAAAGTTGCTTTAGTTTTGATGTACTTGTGTACATACATACTGTAATACCTTTCAGAAGTAATATGTGAATTGTTTTTTTTTACAGCCCAATGTTACAGATGTCCTTCATTGTCTTCTCAACTCACGGAACAACGGTTATGAAACTCACCGACAATAGGTATCACACACATCGGCATCCAAAACAATATTAATGTTGCACAGAAATACACATATTGTTTGTCTCCATTGTAATGGCTTTCCTCCATCATCTGTAATTCAGAAATGAAATTACCAGAGGCTTAAATATTTTGAAGAGAGAAATACCAGGAGGTGATACATATATGAATCTTGGATTGAAACAGGTATCTTTTGATTCTTATTGAATCAAATGAGTCAATTTAAATAAATCACTGAATCATCTTCTAGTCTTCTAATTCTACTATGGTTAAAAATGGTTAATTTGGCTGCAGAATGCATTTACTCCTGTAACACATCTGAGTACTAATCACTCTAGTCTTTTAATTCTACTTTGGTTAAAATTCCTGCATTAATGCTGTAAATATCTGCTTTTAAACTGCAGGCAAATGAGCAGATATATCATGGAAATTATGGTAACCGTCACTTTGAATTACCATGCAATTCATTCACACTTCCGCTTTTATTCTGGGAAAATCAAGCCTCAATGAGATGATGTTTATTTCACAGGGACAGCCAGTGTGATCATAGCACTGACGGATGGGGAGCTAAATGACTATCAGTTTGTCACAGCACAACAAGAGGCAAGTACACAAGCCAGTGATGTCGCAACGGATGTGGCATGTTCTCTGGCAGATGTGTAATTGACAGTGGCATTTGCTCTGTAATAGAGCTGACTGTTTGTTGTC